CTAAAAAAGACTAACATCGTTATTTCTCTTCACTACCTCCTCGTTTTGAGAGTGGGTAATTTGCGCGCCTGCTGCCTTCCTTGGAAGTGGTCGCCGTTTCTCAGGCGGCCTCTCCAGAACCAAACCCTGATTCTCTGTACTCGTTACAACCACGGTAGACATATAATGTACCGTCTAAAGTTGATAAGTCAGACACTTGAAAGATATGTCGTCGACACAAAGGTCATACGATCAACACAAAGTTATTTAGAGTCACCAACAAACAGTTCCGATGAAAGAACTAGAAGGTTTTGATCTAATAAAAGCATTCCGATATTGCTACCGGAATTTTCGCATGTATTAGCCCAGGCTTTTCCTCGGTTATTCCATTTAGGAGTTATGATCAAAGAAAGTTATAGCTGATGTAATGAGCCGTACGCAGTTTCACCTTAAACCAGTTCATACTTAGACATGCATGGCTTAATCTTCAAGATAAAGGAAAGCCACCGACAAGATCAATCGGAAAGCTTCGTTATCTATGTCGAGAATGTATAGATATTGAAAAACAATAATCATATACATCTCTTAGTTTCACAACAGAGTCAAATGAAATCACTTCATTATGACCAGTGTTGATAGCATTACCATTAACATACATACGAAATGTATATATGTAATGATAAAGTGTGTTTGCGTTGTTTCATCGAGACGAAACAAAACCAACCCACATCATGGAATAAATACATTCCTGTTCTTTAAACAACTCGTTTACAAGCATTCAAGCCCAAACAAGCATCAACTGATCAACCACGAAGAGTCAATCAACAAGATGTGTATCGAAGTTATTCGTGCATATGTTGAAACATTTTCAACCGCATTCACTTCATTGCCATTTGTGATGTTTTATTACATGCGATATGAAAATTCGTTTGTCATGCAAACAAACATATATGTTGATCATGAAAATCGACGAAGCAGCTTCGAACAACTTTCATTCTAACACATACATATAACATGTTCACACTGCTATACACTGCATCAATACAACAGTGCTAGCCGAACTATCGCTTCATCACAACATCAACATCGATCGACATGATCATTGCACAGTCAGTCAAACCAATGCAAAAATTCTTATTCCGGGTTCGATAACTACGAGTTTGCAATCCAATGTAAAAAATGCATGTGCACTACTTTTGCTGGTTAAATTTTGACGAACCAGCAAAAGTAGTGCACGTATGAAAAAAATGCATGTGCACTACTTTTGCTGGTTAAATTTTGACGAACCAGCAAAAGTAGTGCACGTACGTTAAAAATTGCATGTGCACTACTTTTGCTGGTTAAAATCGAACGAACCAGCAAAAGTAGTGCACACATGTAAAAAATGCATATGCACTACTTTTGCTGGTTAAAATCGAACGAACCAGCAAAAGTAGTGCACGTATGAAAAAAAATGCATATACACTACTTTTGCTGGTTAAAATCGAACGAACCAGCAAAAGTAGTGCACGTACGTTAAAAAATGCATATGCACTACTTTTGCTAGTTAAATTTTGACGAACCAGCAAAAGTAGTGCACGTACGTTAAAAATTGCATGTGCACTACTTTTGCTGGTTAAAATCGAACGAACCAGCAAAAGTAGTGCACACATGTAAAAAATGCATATGCACTACTTTTGCTGGTTAAAATCGAACGAACCAGCAAAAGTAGTGCACGTATGAAAAAAATGCATATGCACTACTTTTGCTGGTTAAAATCGAACGAACCAGCAAAAGTAGTGCACACATGTAAAAAATGCATGTGCACTACTTTTGCTGGTTAAAATCGAACGAACCAGCAAAAGTAGTGCACGTACGTTAAAAATTGCATGTGCACTACTTTTGCTGGTTAAAATCGAACGAACCAGCAAAAGTAGTGCACACATGTAAAAAATGCATATGCACTACTTTTGCTGGTTAAAATCGAACGAACCAGCAAAAGTAGTGCACGTACGTTAAAAAATGCATATGCACTACTTTTGCTGGTTAAATTTTGACGAACCAGCAAAAGTAGTGCACGTACGTTAAAAATTGCATGTGCACTACTTTTGCTGGTTAAAATCGAACGAACCAGCAAAAGTAGTGCACACATGTAAAAAATGCATATGCACTACTTTTGCTGGTTAAAATCGAACGAACCAGCAAAAGTAGTGCACGTACGTTAAAAAATGCATATGCACTACTTTTGCTGGTTAAAATCGAACGAACCAGCAAAAGTAGTGCACGTACGTTAAAAAATGCATATGCACTACTTTTGCTGGTTAAAATCGAACGAACCAGCAAAAGTAGTGCACACATGTAAAAAATGCATATGCACTACTTTTGCTGGTTAAAATCGAACGAACCAGCAAAAGTAGTGCACGTACGTTAAAAAATGCATATGCACTACTTTTGCTGGTTAAATTTTGACGAACCAGCAAAAGTAGTGCACGTACGTTAAAAATTGCATGTGCACTACTTTTGCTGGTTAAAATCGAACGAACCAGCAAAAGTAGTGCACGTACGTTAAAAAATGCATATGCACTACTTTTGCTGGTTAAATTTCGATGAACCAGCAAAAGTAGTGCACGTGTGCGTTTGATGAAGTTTGTCGATATCTGCTTCTAGTCGAGTTGTTAGTCAATGAGTTTGTCATGTGTATCATCAGTTCACGTCGAGATTCGTATCAGATAGTCGAGAAAATAATTTCGTGTAACTGTATGTTCGATGTTCCTACACATATT